TCACGAGTACACGCAGCTAATCGGGTTCTCTTCGCTGTACACAATCCCGCCCCAAGCCGTGTATCCCTCGGCAAATCATCGATTTCGCTGATGTACATCTGGTAGATGTCGTCTGGTGTTCCCGTCGTGACGTTCGTCCATCCTCTGAAACGCTTCCCATTCAGCCTTACCTCATTGGTAGTCCTGTCAATCGCCCAACCCTTGAGTGTGCTTCCCTCCGGAGCTTCCTCGCCGTCTGTTATGTATCCCAGAGCACCTAACACTACAGAGTATCCATCAGTTACAGATTTGGTCAAGAGATATCTCTCTTCGTGTTCGGCAGACTTACACTCGCCGTTGGTGCCGTAGACTTGTTGGCGCCTTCTGCCTTTGGAGTAGAGGAACAGCTCGTCGCTCTTCAACGTGAAGGTCGCATAGTCTTGCTTAGCACCTCTCTCGCATCTGGCGTCATCGTTTGGCTTGTTGGCGAAGATACTTCCCCCAATTGCTGTAAATTTGAAGTACATTTGCGGTCCATTGGGGCCAGTCAGCGTTTCAAGCGTGAAGGCTCGCCGACTATGGTCTGGGCTGGGAGCGGCGAGAACGAAGGGAACAAAAAGGAACGAGAGGCCGAGTTCAAACTTCATTTTCATGGGCTATCTATCGGAGTATGCTGTTGAGTTGTGGAAAGTTTGGAGTAACTGATGTGTGTTGGGAACAGAAGAATGATGGACCACGAGTGATCACGGGCGAGGTTCGTTGTTTGTATTAGGATTACATTGAAGAGGACTAGTTATTTAACTAATATGAAGGAGTAACTAATAGAATGAATTGCATCAACATACGAAATACGAAATACGTGGTATGGTGTCTGCATCATGCTAATACGCTAACATCAGCTTTCAAGGGTGCCCCAGAACTGTGAGCTAGCAGCAGGCATTGAACTTGGTGTTGATGGAGTATCGCCAAGCAACTACTGACAACTACGTATACGAGGTGCGGAGAGTGTGTTGCCCTGTTAAGATGGCTTGGATGTGTCCAATTGTCCGCCTTCCCTAACAGCGTCTGAGTTCCCTTCTGATCCCACTCGCCGACATATTCGCATCCACCACAAGAATCTCTCAATTACATCTCCCACCAGTTATACACCTTCTGAAATCCTTATTCGCTCTTTACAGACTTCCTCTTTGGGGGCATGATCCACGGAACTGTCCCGACCAGTTCCTCTTCGCTATCCAGAAAGTCAAATGCAGGTGCCCGCGCTGTTCTACTGGCCTGTTGTTTGACAAAAACTTCTGAACGACGTGCATTGAAAAAATGTACCGGTCGATGAATTTCAAAATCCAGTTCGGCCAAGTTGCCAAGGCAGTGGCATTACCGGCTGCCCTGCAACCTTCAATGACTGGCTCCTTGCGTGAGGCTTCATAAGCCTTGAAGGCAGCCATCACTTGGGCTTTCCCCGATTCAGCTGCCAGGCCAAGTGGTTCCGCGTGAGCCGCTTGCAATTCCTTGACGAGTTCGTTGACGAGTGCGACGACATCAATGATCCCGTTGTTGAACCCGGCGCCGGTGCTCGGTGTGAATTTATGCGCTGCATCGCCCGCCAGCACGATACGGCCGTCCCAGCTCCAGTGCTTCACGACGCCTTCCTCCAGGTTTACCAGGCCAGATTGTATGCTCGACTGTAAGCGTCTCGGATAGTAAGAGTCTGGCCAGGTGTGAGCGGCAGATGTCCCCAGCGCCCAACCAAAGCCTCCTCGTCAGCTTTTGAATATCGGCAGCGATCGTAGGTGGGCTCGTCAAGGCGCTCATATATGCACATGACGACAGTATCGACACCCGCAAACAGTTGGGTCGCCAGTTTCTCGCCGTGAGTCTCCCAGGTCGTTCCAGGCGTCAGGCCATTCGTGGTTGGAAAGCGAGTCCATAGGCAGCGGTAAGTCGTTAGAAAAGGCTTCTCTTCATTTAACAGTGGGGATTCATTGTCGATTGCAAGCTGCCGCATGCGCTCTCGCACAAAACTATGGGCGCCATCCGCGCCGATGACCACGGATCCCTCGTATGAAGTACCATCCGTGCATGTAATGCTCACACCGTTCGTAGTCGTAGAGATGTCGGATACTTTCTTGTTCGGAAGCAGGTTGGGCATGGTATCTGTTGGAAGTGACTGGTAGAGAACCTTGGTCAAGTCATGTCGGCTGATGACTCTGGGATATGCACCGAAACTGCGCGATTTTGTCAGTACAGTGCAGTCTAGGGAGTAGCCCTGTTCCAATCTTCGACTCACTACTCGTTGTCATAGAGAAACCACTTCATACTACCAAGTCGCCCACCGCTGTGATCCATACGGTTGATGATGCCAAGTGGGGAGCTGACTTTCTTCAGCTCTTCGAGTAGGCCTAGCTGCCCCAGAACCCGCATGCTCATGGGGACTAAGATCAGATTGGATCCAGCGTCTATGACGAAGCTCGACCGCTGCTCAAGGACAATAAAATCAATGCCGGCTTGTGATAATGCGTGGGCGCACGACAGCCCTACTGGGCCGCCACCGACAACGATGACTCGGAAGTTGGTTGGTCCCATGATGAGTATTTTCGTTATTCAAATAGCTTGAGGCGTCCGCCTTGAAGGATTGAATTTCTTCTTGGTCGGTTTTTTGGTGCAAGATGGTCGATTAGAAGGGAGTGACAGCCACCAAAAGGAGGCCCGAAGTTGCAAAACGAGATGAGAGAGAGCACAGTTAATCATATCGACGTAGCACAAAATACTCACCTGAAAATGGATCTACCTTTATATTTAGAGAAATCGTAAAAATATAAAATAAGCAACAGGTATTCGCGGTCTCGGAGCTCGCTGCAGAATCGATGTGTGTCTTCGCGTTCGGCCTTACAAAAGAAAGATGCTGTTGCGTTCCCGCTGACAGGGTTTGCGATTGGTCCCGTTCTGCTGCCACGCTAACCCATTTTCGTGTTCGCCCCTACCAGCCAATCAGTGTCCGAGGCTTGCATCAAGGAACAGAGGCTTCCAAGATGCGCATTGTCAGGCCGAAGAAAATATGCGGATTATCCCCGTTTTCTGACAGCGCTAGCCAGTTTTCGTGTTCCCTCGCTTCTAAGAAATAATCCCGAGATGTCTGGAGCTTGACGCCGGCACGACGATGCTGGGCACTTTTATTGCAAGCGACTGGTAATTACCTGGTCTTTCCGGCAGGTGGGCGCTAGGTACGTACCTTTTGTGGGTCCCTCTTTGGTCCTTGGGAAACGGCTTGGTAACCTGGGGAGCCAATGTCAAATGCAGTGTCGAATTCGGAGCAGCTTAATTAACTTGGCCAAAAAGGAAACATTCTTCATGGCACTCGAATGCCTATGGTTTTCTACAAAAATTATTTCTAGGGGCTTCTATCTGTAGGATAAAATCCATAACGGCTCGGAAGTTAATAAGAAGCTACAGGTTTGCCAGATTGAAGGTATTGTCTCCATTTTCATCGGACCGATGCAAGTTTAGGGTCTAGGGTAGGTAGGTCCGCTTGGCATTAGAACAAGGACCCGAGAAGCTGAAGTGGTCCCGCAAATTTCCCAAGCGGGAGATGGAAGGCTCTGGAGGATTCCAGCAGACACCACTAACTTCCAGGGCCTTCAGCGCTGTAGCAACACCAACTTGGTGCATTCGAGATGCTTCACTTCCTCCAGAATACAACATTCTCGAAGTTGCCTGAAATCATCGCGTTGAGTATAAAGTGCTCCCTTCAGTGCCACTCTCTGGCCCAAAATCTTCATCCAAACACATCATCATCATCAAACACTTCAACGGTTCTCTTCTCCAAATAGCTCCAGCTGCCACAAATCTTAGTCGCAACCAGACTTCAACAGCAACTCAAAAACCCACCAAAATGGCTTTCTTCCCACGAACCTTTTACAACACCGAGGCCTCATTCACGCCTCTCTTCCGCCTGCTCGACGACTTTGACTCGTACTCTCGCAGCGGAAGCAACACCAATGGCACCACCCGCTCGCACATCTCGGACTGGCAGCCCAAGTTTGACGTCCGCGAAACAACAGACGCCTACCACTTCCACGGTGAGCTGCCGGGCTTGACCAAGGACGACATCTCCATCGAGTTCCCAGAGCACCAAGGCATGGTCATCCGCGGCAAGACCGAGCGCACTTACACTTCGGGCACCCCGCCTGCCGGCCTCCTCGAATCCACCGACAAGGATACGCCTGCTACTGTGACGGAGGCTGGCGAGCGCCGCAACTCACACCAAGCCACCGTTGAAGACGAGGCCGACGCCGAGAAGTCCGACGACAAGGCAGTTGCTGCTCCGGACAGCGAAAACTCAGTTGACAAGGCGGACGCGTCTGCCGCTCCGGCTGACAACTCCAAATACTGGCTCACCGAGCGCAGCATTGGCGAGTTTGCGCGCCACTTCAGCTTCCCTTCCCGCATCGACCAGGACGGCGTTAGCGCCAGCTTGAAGGATGGCATCCTGACCATCGATGTGCCCAAGGCCAAGAAGCACGAATCTCGCCACGTCGCTATCAACTAAACTCTTTCTTTCCCTACCTACCCACGCTTTAATTTTAATTGCCTGGCGGCTTGCTTAGGCAGGGAGGGATCATTTCACGGTGGACATGTTTCGACTGAGTTTGGGGCGCTTTTGATTAGCAGGATGAGAAATTCTTGCATTGCTGTTCGATAGCTACGTACCTAGTTAATGAATGATGAGTAATTTTGTTTCAAAGCTCGATGGAGTTCCTATATCTTGTGAAGTGCATTGGCCCTTTGTAAATGCTTTGTTACAGCTACCCACCCAGCTTAAACAAAGATCCCGTCTGGATTGGCAAGGCTAAGAAGGGTAGGCCGTAGATCTCGTAAATTATCTCCCCGGTGTGCTAAAACCGTATAGAATTGGGATCATTGTGACCAACGAGGGAGGCGGTTAGCTAATCACCCCGAGGCGTCTGACTATGCGTTCACCTGCTTGGCTTAGAGCAGCTTATTGACCTTTCAGACCAGGAAGAATTCGACGGCTTCAAGGTTAAGCGTGGGGAAATCGACTCTCAGTCACGTAATCGACCTGATACCCCAAACGTCGATAGAATGACTAAGGCATCGGAACTTTTGAGGTTGAGGAGCTTGGCGAGTATGTGAGAGGCGAGCGTGGCAGGCATATTTTCAAGATAGCGCCCAATCAACCTCTCGACATCGATGGTCTTCTTCAAAGTTTGGTTAAACGGCTGGAGAAGACGGCAGCATCAAAAATGTCAATGAGCTATCGCACATGAACGATAAAGCTCGAATAGTTAACAGTGAATATAATGAGAATGTATCTGTTCCCGCTGTAAGGTGCGCTTACTTGGGTAAACAGCTGTTATGCGGTCAATCAGAATTTCCTGTCCCTGTCGCTGATGATGATTGTTGGAATGCCCCAATCGCACAGCAGCAATGCTCTCTTACATCCTCAAACTGCTCATTCACTACATACATTGGGACGCATTCACATCTACATTGAAATCTATTCGGCACACAAACATGAGCACTAAAAACAAGCCCGCCGAAGCGGCGGTCGAGTACCACCTCCCTCTGTGGGACGGCAAGAACAACAAGACGCTGCAGGAAGTCACCGATTCATACAAAAAATACACCTACCAATTGTTATGCGGTCAATCAGAATGTGTGTAAAGGCTTGAATTACTCCTAGCTAACTTCTCGGGCGACATGGATCTTTCGGACGTATCGGACCAGTTGGTCCGGTTCGCAACAACAGCGGAATTTCGGATCGAGAATCAGAATTACGAACATCGAAGCGAAATTCTGGTCCTAGAATGTCTAGTATCAATGCTAAATATTTTTTAAATAATTCCCGAACCTTTCTTAACCACTTGCTGCTTGTGAGAATAGAGACAACGATCCAACCAAGTAACCAAGTGCATAAAGTAAGATTTCAGGGGAAATCTGCCGCCCACCCCCCTTACTTGAAAACCTCCCTTGCCTACAAAGATATCGTGAGGAGATTTCGCAAATCCTTGAGCAACGTCGCGTAGAGAGCTAGTGACTCCTGGGTGTAGGCCTCTGCCAACTTAGAGAACGACTCATAAAGATCTGCGTAATATGGAGACGAATGACGGGCTTACCCAAGATGGAGATGTCGTCAATGATTGACTTGATGCTAACTAAATCACATTGCCTAATAATTACTCAATAATGTATTATTATTAACTATTGTCTATCAATATCGTGGCCTGTGTTGGAAAGTTGGGATTAAGGCACCTTCGTAATCCCTGTTATTCTGCCGCCTACTTGCTATCAAAGGAAGGAATAAAATAACCAACTCAGGGATTTCCAACTTGGAAGCCCAAGCCATCGGCCCAACCCGCTGTGGCTGCCCTTTGGGGCAATTGCGTTAGCGGTCAGTCAACCACTGTAGCAGCTGTATTAGCGGACCTCGTGTTCGCTGTAGCAGCCGCATTAGCGGACCTCGTGTTCACTGTAGCAGCTACATTAGCGGACCTCTTGTCCACTGTAGAGTTTAGATTAGCGCTCTCACACTCCCCTGTACGAGAACCTTACAGCAGTTACGAGCCCAGCGTTTGAACCGCTAGCCACAGGGCGCCAAGAGCCTGGAGCCTTTGGCCACAGCGCCCACTAGAGCGCCCCAAGAGCTTGAAGAGCTTCTGGCCATAGCGCCCACCACAGCGCCCCAAGAGCCTGAAGAGCTTCTGGCCACAGCGCCCACCACAGCGCCCCAAGAGACTGAAGAGCCGCTGGCCTAACGCCTGAACCTAGTGAGCCAAGGCCTAACCACGAGCCTATAGGCGACCCAATGGACCTATCTAACTGCCCTGGGCACAGGCAACCGTATAGCGTACCAAGCAAGCGCTAAAACACGCACTGAAGCACAGCTAGCCCTAGAGCCTAACAACTGGAACGAGGTGCTAAAGCTGCCGCTATAGCGGTTGCCTGTGCCCAGTTAGATAGGTCCATTGGGTCGCCTGTAGGCTCCTGGTTAGGCCTTGGCTCACTAGGTTCAGGCGTTAGGCCAGCGGCTCTTCAGTCTCTTGGGGCGCTGTGGTGGGCGCTGTGGCCAGAAGCTCTTCAGGCTCTTGGGGCGCTGTGGTGGGCGCTATGGCCAGAAGCTCTTCAAGCTCTTGGGGCGCTCTAGTGGGCGCTGTGGCCAAAGGCTCCAGGCTCTTGGCGCCCTGTGGCTAGCGGTTCAAACGCTGGGCTCGTAACTGCTGTAAGGTTCTCGTACAGGGGAGTGTGAGAGCGCTAATCTAAACTCTACAGTGGACAAGAGGTCCGCTAATGTAGCTGCTACAGTGAACACGAGGTCCGCTAATGCGGCTGCTACAGCGAACACGAGGTCCGCTAATACAGCTGCTACAGTGGTTGACTGACCGCTAACGCAATTGCCCCAAAGGGCAGCCACAGCGGGTTGGGCCGATGGCTTGGGCTTCCAAGTTGGAAATCCCTGAGTTGGTTATTTTATTCCTTCCTTTGATAGCAAGTAGGCGGCAGAATAACAGGGATTACGAAGGTGCCTTAATCCCAACTTTCCAACACAGGCCACGATATGATAGACA